ACAGCAGCCTTTTCTATTTACACACAGATTTAGGCAAGTTATTTACTACAGTACTTGTCTACCCAATGTCTTCATCTGGAGTTTTTCCTTCCTTCCCTCAAAAGCCACCCTGTGGCATACCGACAGAGTAAGTACACTTTCCAGTTTCCACTTTCAGTCTCTTAGCTCAGAAATCTTTAGTGGCTTCCTGTTGCATGTGGAGCCCTGGTGGTGCAGTAGTTGAGAGCTAACCAAAAGGTCGGCAGTTCAAATCTACCAGTCACTCCTTGGAAACCCTAAGGGGCAGTTCTACTTTGACCTATAGGGTCGCTATGAGTTGGAATCGACTCCAAGGCACCGAACCACCACCACCAAAACCAACCAAACCTGCTGCCATCGAGTCCAACTCATAGCGACCCCATTTAACACAGTAAACTGCCCCATAGGGTTTTCTAGGCTATAATATTTACCGGAACAGATTGCCAGGTATTTTCTCCCTGGAGCCACTGGGGTTTGAATCTTCAACCTTTTGGTTAGCAGTCAAACGTTTACCCATTGCGCCACCAGGGCTCCTAATGCTTATCAGTTACAAATTCTTCGGAACAATTTTGGATACTCATAATGCTTTTCCTTCCCTCCTTATCCAATCTCATTACCCACGATGTTACATTAAGCAAACTTTTCATCAGTCCAGACCAGAGAAACAGCAAAGACAAGGATGAGCAGGTCCAACAGACGTAGATAGAGTGACAGCAACTTACTATTTCTGTTCTGTACAAAGAAGAAAACACGGCACTTTATGGGATTCTAGTTTTCATCCAAGTTGTAGTTTGAGTTTATGTGAGCTCATCCAGCTGTACCACATGAACCTTTCAAAATTAAAAAAAATAATAACAAAATCTACCATTAAAGTCCAGGTTTAGCACATGCTACACACATTAAATGAGCCCTGGCGGCGCAGTAGTCAAAGTGCTTGGCTGCTAACAGAAGGGTCCGCAGTTTGAACCCAACAGCCGCTCCGTGAGAGAGATGTAGCAGTCTGCTTCCATAAACATTTCAGCCTCGGAAACCCTATGGGGCACTTCTACGCTGTCCTATTGGGTCTCTATGAGTCGGAATCAACTCCTCGGCAGCAGGTTTGTTACCCACATCTAAATGTACAACTCAACTTGATCTGCAAAATTTCTATAACCAAAAGGACTAATAACGTTAACAGTAAGGTAACAGTCTAGTGGAATAGGCAATCAAAATTTATTGAAAGAAATGCATTAATTATGCTTTTTAAAATGAAAGTGAGCTTCTCTTTGAAAAACGGTTCTGTATGGATTGTTAAAGTGATTTGTACTTTTTACCGCCAAAGGATTAAAAACAAAGTAATTCCAAGAAGTGTTTTCTGGATGTAAGCACAAAATAGCATTTTTAAAAGGCAATGTTGTGTAAGTAAACAAGAAATTCAGATTTATATCTAAGCAAAAGTACAGTTTCACACCAGTTAGAACCCTGCCATCTGGCTTGGAGTTGTGAAAATAATCATAATCACTTCCGCCCTAGACATTAAGTTAGATCAGAATATTGTTCAGCTCCACAGGAGTTATCTGACTTGTGTGTGCATCACACTACTTCCCCCTGAGCAATGATTTGGATACAGATCATATTGGTTTCTACATAACTTCAAAACAAGGCAAATTTACTGTATTTGTAGTTATATTAGTTGGAGCAAAGATTTCCCATTGGCTTTCTCGTTATTTAGTAAAAGAGGCTTCTATTTTTTGATTATTTAGTATTTTGCATATACTTCCTAATTTGATACCCTTAATGACACCTTTTTAAACTAGCCTAAAAGGTGTGGATTACTGATACCCAATATTGTATTCTAAAAGGCTGTTATACTTAACATACATATTGTGTCACCTGTATTCTTTCCAGGAAAACCAAGACTCTTTAAACTAGAGTTTTTACCAGAGAGTGATACTACTTTAATGCATTACTGTCAAAAGGAGAGAAACCAAGAAGTGGCAACATTAAATCCAAAAGAGGAAAAAACATCTTGTCACTATATTATAGGAAATTGTCATTAAAAAAAAAAAAAAAAAAAGATTCTAGTTCCAGGTGAGATGGAATAAGCATACCTCCCCCTTTCTCTCCCACTGAATGTATCTATCAAACCTGGACAGGACGCATCGAGCAACTATTCTGAAGACTCTGAAGAGTAAACAGCAGCAGGTAGATCCAGGAAGAACACTAGAATTCAAAGTATCTGTGAATTGGCAGCCTCCAGTATTCCTTGACCTGAACTTAATGGGGCTGGAATCCTGGAAGTCAGCTCTATAATGCAGAGAGCTCTACAAGAGACCAAGGACCAGGAAAGGCAGCACCTAATGTTCAGAGGGAGTATGGAAATTCCCCCATTTTTTCCCTTTTCTCCATTCTCTTCTGCCCCCGGCCCCCAGGCAATCTTGCAGTGCTGGCAAGCAGCTATGGGAACCCAAAAGAGCCAAAACTCTGAGGGAGGGCTATTTTTCTGTTTGGTGGAGCTATGATTCCAAGAGGGTGGAGCAAACTCCCACTGCTTTTTTCTTCCTGTCCTCCCTCCACATGGGTCAGGATGCAGGCCCAACCATGGAAGCATGACACAGGAATAGAATAACTAGAACTGCAAGTTTCTGGTCATAACTGAAAAGGGGAGCCCAAGAAACCCAGAAGCAGTGGGGAGATCATAGAGGAGGAGCTCAGGAAATCAACATCATAAATTGTTTCTGAACTCCAAGGACTGCCCTCCAGCCATTCATGTTTGGATCTGATCCTACTTAGCATACCCAAAGACCTTGAGAATTAAACTATTCAGTACAACTACAAGCATACCTGGCTTTATTGCGCTTCCCAGATATTGCGTTTTCTTACAAATTGAAGGTTTGTTGCAACCCTGCCTCAAGCAAGCCTATTAGTGCCGTTCTTCCAGCAGTATGTGCTCACTTCATGTCTCTGTGTCACATTTTGGTAATTTTCGCGATATTTCAAACTGCATCATTATTATATCTGTTATGGTGATCTGTGATCAGTGGTCTTTGATGTTACTATTTTGGGGTGTCAATAACTGGGCCTATATAAAATGGTGTACTTAATCGATAAATGCTGTGTGTGTTCTGACTGCTCCGCCCACTGGCCGTTCCCTCATCTCTCTCTCTCCTCGGGCCTCCCTACGCCCTGAGATACACCAATATTGAAATTAGGCCAGTTCATAACCCTACAATGGCCTCTAAGTGTTCAAGTGAAAGGAAGAGTCGCACCTCTCCACTTTAAATCAAAAGCTAGAAATGATTAAGCTTAGTGACGTAGGCACATCAAAAGCCAAGACAGGCTGAAAGCTAGGCCTCTTGCATGCGCCAGTTAGCCAAGTTGTGAATGCAAAGGAAACGTTCTTGAAGGAAATTAAAAGTGCTACTCCAGTGAACACATGAACAATAATGCTGATATGGAGGAAGTTTTGGTGCTCTGGATAGAAGATCAAACGAGCCGCAACACTCCCTTAAACCAAAGCCTAATCCAGAGCAAGGCCCTAACTCTCTTCAGTTCTGTGAAGGCTGAGAGAGGTGAGGAAGCTGCAGAAGAAAAGTCTGAAACTAGCAGAGGTTGGTTTGTGAGGTTTCAGGAAAGAAGCCGTCTCCGTAACATAATAGCACAAGGTGAAGCAGGAAGTGCTGATGCAGAAGCTGCAGTAGGTTATCCACAAGATCCAGCTAGGATAATTGACAAAGGTGGCTACATTAAACAACAGATTTTCAATGTAGATGAAGACCGCCTTATACTGGAAGAAGATGCCATCTAGGATTTTCAGACCTAGAGTGAAGTCAACGCCTGACTTCAAAGCTTCAAAGGACAGGCAGACTGTCTCGTCAGGGGCTAATGCAGCTGGTGACTTTAAGTTGAAGCCAATGCTCATTTCCAAACCTGCTGCCATCGAGTCGATTCCGACTCATAGCAACACTACAGGACAGAGCAGAACTGCCCCAGGGTTTTCAAGGAGTGACTGACTGGTGGATTCAAACTACCAACCTTTTGGTTAGCAGCCGAACTCTTAACCACTGTGCCACCCAGGCTCCAGTGCTCATTTAGCATTCTGAAAATCCTATGGCCCTTAAGAATTATGCTAAATCTACTCTGCCGGTGCTCTATAAACGGAACAACAAAACCTGGATGACAGCACATCTGCTTACAACATGGTTTACTGGATATTTTAAGCCCACTGTTGATACCTAAAAACAAAACAAAACAAAAACCAAACCTGTTGCCAATTAGTTGATTCTGACTAGTGACCCTTTAGGACAGAGTAGAACTGCCCCATAGCAGCAGCTGGTGGATTCGAACTGCCAAGCTTTTGGTTAGCAGCTGAGTTCTTAACCACCGTACCACCAGGGCTCCTGATGAGACCTACTGCGCAGAAAAAAAGATTCCTTTTAAAATACTACTGGTCACTGACAATGCACCTGTTCACCGAAGGAGATTAATGTTGTTTTCATACCTGCTAACACAACATCCATTCTGACGCTCATGGATCAAGGAGTAATTTCGACTTTAAAGTCTTATTATTTGATAAATACATTTTGTAAGGCTACAGCTGCCACAGAAGCGGTTCCTCTAATGGATCTGGGCAAAATAAACTGAAAACCTTCTGGAAAGGATTCACTATCCTAGATGCCATTAAGAACATTCGTGATTCATGGGAGGAGGTCAAAATACCAACCCTCATGGATGACTTTGAGGGGTTCAAGACTTCAGTGGAGGAAGTAACTGCAGATGTAGTGGAAGGAAACAGCAAGAGAATTAGAAGTGGAGCCTGAAGATGTGACTGAATTGCTGCAATCTCATGAGAAAACTTTAATGGATGAAGAGTTGCTTCTTATGGATGAGCAAAGAAAGTGGTTTCCTGAGATGGAATCTACTCCTGGTGAAGATGCTGTGAACACTGTTGAAATGACAAAGGATTTAGAATATTACATAAACTTACCTGATAAAGCAATGGCAGGGTTTGAGAGGACTGACTCCAATTTTGAAAGAAGTTCTACTGTGGGTAAAATGCTATCAAACAGCATCACATGCTACAGAGAAATTTTTCGTGAAAGAAAGTTAATCGGTGCGGCAAATTTCACTGTTGTCTTAAGAAATTGCCACAGCCACCCCAACCTGGCACCCTGATCAGTCAGCAGCCATCAACATTGAGGCAAGACCCTCCACCAGCAAAAAGATTATGACTTGATGAATGCTCAAATGATGGTTAGCATTTTTAGCAATAAAGTATTTTTTAATTAAGGTATGCACATTGTTTTCTTTAGGTATAATACTATTGCACACTTATAGACTACCAAACCAAAAACCAAATCCGTTATCGTTGGGTCAATTTCAACTCATAATAGACTACAGTATAGTGTAAACATAACTATTATATGCACTGGGCAACCTAACATTTCTTGTGACTTGCTTTATTGCAACATTCATTATACTGAGGTGGTCTTGAACCGAACCCGCAATATCTCTGAGGTATGCCTGTACTGCCTACCAGACTGGATGGCACAAACCCAAGAGAGATCCAGAGAATTGCAAAGGCTGTGAAAACTGAACTGACACTGGAATCACAGCCAACAAAAGGTGGATTAGAAATTGCATCCTGAACCTAACAGGCTGACTGCCTGTTAAAACAAAAAGATAAGACAATCTCCATAAAATTTAAACAAGACACAGAATCTCGTAATATTCAAAGTGTCCAAGCTACAATACAAAATCAACATACAAAGTACCACAAAAATTTATAGGACACAGTAGAACTGCACCATAGGGTTTCCTAGGCTGTAATCTTTATGGTAGCAGGTCACCACGCCTTTTCTCTTGTGGAGCGGCTGGTGGGTTCGAACCACCAACCTTTTGGTTAGTAGCTGCGCAGCCCCCAATTCCATTCCCTAACATCTCAAGCCATTAAGACTGCTGCTTTCTCTTGCGTTCTAGCTGCCCCCACCAGGAAGACTGGGGAATGTCCTAAGGGGAAAATCCATATGAGCATGGTTCTCACCCTGCTTTTGGTCACTCCCCAGTGCCTTTAATAACTGCTTATTTTGTCCAGAGTTTATAATTAGGAGGATTTGTCCACTATAAGCTATTCTACCATTATTCAAACCAGAACTCCTTGATTTTATAATTTTTAAATGTTTGGTTTAACATCTCAGAAGACAATAATACAGAACTAGTACTTCATTGTCTCTGGCTCTCTCTCCTTTTGTGCCCAACAGATTGAAAATGAAATGCTTCATATATATTAAAATATCTTCTATCTTAAATAAGTCAAATTAATAAATAATCTCTAGCTAATTGATGCTCCAAGGAAGTCTCTGCCTGGCTTCCAAAGAATTTACTGAACAAAGAGGTCAGATAAGCTGATCTGGTCATGGAAACATTCAGATTCAGACTAACTGAACTAGCCTATAAACCAAACCCACTGCTGTCGACTGGGTCTCACAGCGACCCTACAGGATCCAGCAGAACTGCCCCATAGGTTTCCAAGACTGTAATCTTTACAGAAGTGGACCGCCACATCCTTCTCCCATGGAGTGGCTGGTGGGTTCGAATCTCCGACCTTTCGATTAGCAGCCGAGCATTTAACCACTATGCCACCAGGGCTTCCTGAATTACCCTACAGCAAAGTTATTCCTGTTCTGAACTGACAAAAAGTATAAAACTCTGAGGTTATAAAATATAATAAATGGTGTGTTATTTAAAACTAGTAAGATGGTGACTAGTTGCATATATTAATGGTATATTAACTGAGTTAAGTGATGTGATAAATCTTGAAAAATCCACTGTTGTCTTCAAACTTAAATTTTTAAAAATTTTACTGTGTACCGGTAGTCAGCAAGTTTTCCATTTGTCAGGTTGGACGCAGAAGATGCTATTTAAATCCAAACAATAACTGTACATGGCTGGTTGAACATTTATAATTCAACAGTTATATAACCTCCAAATACAGCAGAATATGAACCACATAATTTAGATGTCAGCTAAACAAGAAAAGCCAGTTCAGAAGGGTGTCATGTACTCAGCTGAGCTTTAAGAAAGCAGGACTGTTGGTGGAGACTTACTTTTCCCACCACAGTTTATATGCACTCACACCAACTGGACTGACACAGTGGCTGCAACAACGGGCTTAAACGTAGCAACGACTGTGCGGATGGCGCAGGACCAGGCAGCGTTTTGTTCTGTTGTACATGGGGTCACCTGAGTAGGAACTGACCTGACAGCACCTAACACCACCACCACCACCACCAAACTCTGTCAGGACAACTCCTCTTACAGTCAGGACAGCTGATTTTAAGAAAAAAGAAAATTACAAAAACAATATGTGAACTGTTACCCGTCTTTTATTTGCTTTTCTTGTCACTCCTTTTTTATCCTCTAAAACTGGGACTTTTGGTTAAAACAAAGTGACTCACATTCCAGTTACCTCACAAAGTTATAGTCTGACTACAAGCAAACCACCTTGTATAAACCAGTTTCATTTAAGTAAAAACTGCTTTTAAAATGACTCTGTCTCTGGATGTCTATCAATTTTCTGACTTGGTCTGCTCCATGTGTTTACGTCCTGAAAAGCTGCCAAAACAGCAGCAACAGCTGATGATATCATAGGGAAAAAACTCACTGCCACAGGAAACCAAGCATTGTTGAGTCAACTTCTTTCTTCCTGGTTACGTGTTTTATACTTATCAGGCAAACCTAAGGACCTGTCTAATTTTTATACAAATATGTGTACATGTATATATGAAAGAAATTAACAACAGGCAATAGAAAATGTCTATGTTCAGAGGCCATCAATGCTTTGAGATTCTGAGGTATCTTCCAGTACGGAAAACAGACTTAGCATCTCAATCTCCAGAGGATGCATGCTGCCTCCTGTGATAATCAAAGAATGTAATGGTCCTCCCAAGTCCACAGTACACATTTGCTGTAAAGTGCCTGCTGCAATTTTCTGGTCCTCAGCTCCAACTCTGGCTAAGCCAACACAGAGTGTCTCCTCGGTGATTGCTGTTTAATAAAAACAAGAAAAAAAAAGATGCTGCCACTCAATTCAGCAAATGAGTCATTCTGTATACCATTCAAATGAACACTAGTACCAAGAGTACATTTAAAGATGCCCAAAGTATCTTAAATTTCCTTAGTCACTGATTAAAAAACAATTTTTCATTTATCTATCTAAAGCTTTTCCAAATCTTTTGCACCACCTGACATATGAAGTAGTAATTCTCAACTTCACCCTTTCAGAATTCCAAAGGCTTACCCTAGTTTAAGTTTTTAGAATTTGATAAACAATTAGATTTATCCACATCCTTTACAATTGCACAACACTGGTCTTTAAACAGATTCTGAGTGAACAAAGTATATTACATGCTTATATTTTTAATACATCTCTTGAGATATGTTCATATTGACAAAGATACATTGGAAAAACCACAGTATTATGAGTAAATACATAGATTTGAGTTTCTGATTGGCCACTAGCTTGCTATGTGACACATGTCAGTTTTCTCATTTTTAAACATTGAATACCATACTCTCTCTCTTAAAAGGTAGTTGTGAGGACTAAGATAATAGATATTGAGTATTTAGTAAACTATAAAGCCCTTAACGAATAATGGGCATTGTGGCATTATTTGTGCTTTTAAGTTCAAAATGTACAACTTCAGTGAACGTCAGTATTACTCACTCTGGTGCTGTAGCTGAAGGGCTGACCCTTCACTGGTCTTGCTGTTTAGGTGGAAAAGTTGTCCTGATTGAACAATGATCAAAATGGGGCAAATGATTTATGCAAGGATAAGCAGACTTGTGGAGAAATGTGTATAATTGATAGATACACACCACCCTTGCAGACTATTTGTATCATGACTGTAACAAGGCCTACTAATGAGGATAAAATAAGCAATGGTTAGTCAAGAATCTTTTCCATCAGGGGACAGATACTCAGAGGGAGTTAGCACCTTACAACAGACTATAATGACAGGTTCACTTAACAAAGAAGAAGACCAAAGACAGAAGAGGCCCAAGAGACAGAAAGGGCCGCATAAACCAGAGAATCCATCAGCCTGAGACCAGAAGAACTAGATGGTGCACGGCTACCACCAGTGACCGCCCCGACAGGGAACACAACAGAGAGCACCTGATGGAGCAGGAGAAAAGTGGGGTGCAGAACTCAAATTCTAGTAAAAAGACCAGACTTAATGGTCTGACTGAGACTGGAAGTACCCCGGAAGACATGGCCCCTGGACTCTCTGTTAGCCCAAAACTAAAACCATTCCTGAAGCCAACTCTTCAAACGAAGATTAGACTGGACTATAAGACATAAAATGAGACTCGTGAAGAGTGTGCTTCTTAGCTCAAGTAGATACATGAGACTAAATGGGAAGCTCCTGTCTGGAGGCGAGATGGGAAGGCAGAAAGGACAGGAGCTGGTTGGATGGACATGGGAAATCCGGGGTGGAAAGGAGTGTGCTGTTACATTACAGGAAGAACAACTAGGGTCACATAACAATGTGTGTATAAATTTTTGTATGAGAAACTAACTTCAACTGTAAACTTTCACTTAAAGCACAATAAAAAAAAAAAGGAATCTCTCAGTGAAGATTTACTGACACTTCCGTATATATACTCACTGTGTCTCGTTATTAGAAATATAAAGACAAATTCTTTGTCTTTTCCCTGAAGAAAACTATTCCTGGTTTCAGTGTTGAGAATTAGCAAAAGCAGAATACATATATATTTTTGCAGGAAAGATATCACCATATATTAGGGCCAAAATAGAAATTCTGTATTTTACCAAAATATTTATACTTTAACATATTATTTACATTAAATCTGCTTTTTAGTTGATTTATGAAAACTCCTCACTTTCTGGAGTAGTGTCAAATTTACTAGGAAGTGCTCCATTACTTCTCTTTTAGTACAACTTGCAGCCTACGGGGTTTAAATTACAGTTGTAAAAATGACAAGAAAAATACAATGCAAAAACAATGACACTCTCATCAGCAGTGGTGATGGAGGTGTGTCTGTGTGTGTGGCAGAGGTTCTATCATATACACGGCTAGAGTAGCAGGGGAATAATATTTGAGCCTTTACAGGGTCTCACGTACCTGGCTCTTCTCCTCGCATTCTTTGATTCTGAACAATCTCCAGAAGCTGTTGGGCTGCTTGGTTCACGCTCATATACTGAGGAGGTTCATAGATCTTCCTTCCCCTGTAAGTATAAAACTAGATGCCATTGTTCTTAGCCATGAAATTACATATTAATGCAATTATTCCCCCAGGTATACTCAAGTACCACAGTCTACACTCTGAAGCTTTCATGTGATGCCCTCTTTAAGTATATACATTAATCCAAGGGTAGAGTTCTTACCTTAAGAGTTTCTTAAGCTTTTTGCATTGTTCTACTTCAACTACCCCCTCATTTCACTGAAATGTTGGCAGGAAGAAAAACCCAACACCTTAAAAACAGATGTCTAAATCAGAGTTACTTTTATTAAAAGTGATGCCTTAGGCAAAAATAATTCATTGTAAGTGGCAACTTGGACTATACGATAGCTCTATCAGGTTCTATACTGTGTATTTTTATTTCTGTGTTTAAACCACATGTTCCTCTTTTCACTTCTTCCTCTAAGAAAAGTAAACTAAAGGGGTAAAGACGTGAAAATTTTGGATGGTTAGATATGTTTACTTCTGTGTGCTTCAAAAGTTTATCAGGTGATCCCAATGATTATAATAAAAATGTAGCTTTTGCAGCTACAAAACAGTTCATGTACATTATTTTACTGACTCTCAAAATAATCCTCTGTATCAGAACTATGCAATAGAAATATAATGCAAGCCACATACATAATTTTAAATTTTCTAGAAGTCACAGAAACAAAAGTAAAAAGAGGTGAAATTTTAATATTTTATTTAAAACCAATATATTCAAAATATATTTCAACATTTAGTCATTTAAAAATTATTGAGATATTTTATATATATTTTGTACAAAGTCGCTGAAATCTGATGTGTATTTTATACTTAAAGTACATCTTAATTTGGAAGCTAAATTTTCATTCAAAATATTTTATCTGTATTTAGATTTTGTAAAACATAGAGCTATAAAAGTAGATTTCACATATCAAAGTTGTTTCAAACCTACTTAAAAGTTTTCCAATAACTAAACTGTTAGCTTTAAATTAATTAAAATTAAATAAAATTAAAAATCCACTTCCTCAGTAGCATTAGCCACATTTCAAGTACTTATTAGCCACGTGGGTAGTAGCTATTGCTTGGACACTGCCATTCTAAGCAAAAATGGATTATTACTCTCACTGTCCATATGAGGAAAATAAGGCTCAGAGATGGAAATGACTTGCCCAAGAGCACACAACTAGTGGCAGATCTGGGGCTTGAACCATGTCTTCTGACTCCCAATTCATTAATTCCGTCCACAGATATTTACTGAGTGCTATTAGGTATAACTTTTTGCTATTTCACTCTGTCATACTACTTATCATTTCATAAGAATGAAAGTCTTTAATTTTTAACTGCTGATGAAAGCTGATTTTCAACAATGTTTAGAACTCATGTCATGTAAGTAGTTTAACAGAATTCTTCAAGGAATTAAGACAGATGTAAGCATTCTCATAACTTACTTGATTAGATTTTCCAAAGACTGCTCCTTTACTTTGATGTCTGTAGGAAGTGAAAAATATTTCTTTAGATTTAATTAAGTACTTTATCAAAAACCCTATGTGTAAACTTCAGTTAGGAGTTACCTACATTTTTGCTAATTATTCTTCACAAGTCTCCAAACTGCTCACCTGAGAGTTTGTAACAGTCTTCCCCAACACTTCTATCTAGCTACTTTCTTATGGAAACAGAAGAATGAAAGCTTGTAGTCATGTAAAGGCCACTAGTTAGAAAACAAATTTGGCCCTGAGACTATCCTGAAGGGATCTAATTTCCTCTAGAAAAAGAAGAGGAATGAATTAGATAAATATTAGCATATATATTACCTATTAGCTAATCAAAAAATTTTTTTTCATTTCTGCTAGCTGGTAAGTGCAAAGACCAAAATGAAGAGTCTTATCATGATCCTATTCTTACCTATTTTTCAGGCACTAGAATGTAAACACGAACCCTGGTGGTAACAATGGTTAAAGTGCTTGGCTGCTAATCAAAAAGTCAGCAGTTTAAACCCACCAGCTGCTCTGAGGGAGAAAGATGTGGCAGTCTGCTTCCATAAAGATTTCAGCCTTGGAAACCCTATGGGGCAGTACTACTCTGTCCTATAGGGTCACTATGAGTCAGAATAGACTTGATGGCAGTGGGGAGAACGGAAGCTTCAATGAGTATAAAATAAACAGAAAAAAATTCTTACTACACTCTGAAAAGAGACTTTTATTTTCTTATGATTGGTAAGACATGCCATAATTATGAATAAACACTTTAATACCAAATATTCATACTTTTAACAGGTATTTACTGAGCACCCACTGCATGTCAGATGCTATGTCAGGTACTGGGCATACAATTGGGAAAAGAAGGAACACAAACCTTGCTCTCACAAAACCTGACAGTCCAAACATCACAGATATTTGATTCTTTATACTTTTTAATCACTGATTGTCAGCTGAACTATTTGGTAAAAGCTGAAAAAGCAGAATCACTCTACACCCTCACAGGAATTCAATACACAACAGCAAGCACAACAGCTGCTTCCTGTTTTATATAATGAAAACAAATGGTTCAGCCAAAGTTTGTTTTTTGCAAACATAAATAGAGTGCAACTGAGGGGGTCTCTCTGACAGACTTCTGCAGCTTTCCTAGATAATTATAAAAGCTTTTCTTATAAAAGATAAAGAGTTAGCTTGGAAAGAACAGCAGAAATTAATCTCATATATCTATTTCTAAATTGGTGAAAAGGTGGAATCAGTGGTGAAAAGTATTTTTAGGTTCAAAATATCATTCATTAATTTATTAATTCATTCACCTTCAGCTTCTAGTTATTTACAGTAGTAAAGTTCTTAATTTAACACTGCCATTTTTTTTAACTTTTTAAATGATATGCTCTACAAAATCTGATAATAAAAATGAAGAGGGATGGGGAGAATTTTTACAGGCAAACAATTTTTAATTGAACCTAAGGCTGCATTAGCGAATTAGTCTCAAGTCTTCAGCCAGACCAGTCTTTAGTATTTTTCCCTTGTCTTTACATACACCATAATTATTCCTCTCTCTCTACATCCACTTGCTAAAATGTGAGCTTCTGGAGGATAGGACCTGCATCCTAGTCATCTTAGTATGCCCAGGACCTAGCACAGTGCAAGGCACTCAGCAGATACTCCATAAAAATTTATGAAAAATTTTTCTAATGAAAAAATTTGCTCAAGTGGCTTTCCTACCACCTGCCTATCTTAATCTATCCAGCCCTTAAACAACTTAATTCCCAGCTCCTTCATGAGGACTTTGTTGACTTACTCTCAAATACTTTTGGTACTCTGAAATCAGGGCTTGAACCTCTGTTGAGAATTTGTATTTCTAACAAGTTCCCAGACAATGCTAATACTGCTGGTTAGGGACCAATTTTGAGAACCACTAGGGCAGTGGTTCTCAAAATTTTTTATACACAAGAATCACCTGAGTATCCTGTTAAAATGCAGATTCTGATTCAGTATATCTGGGGGTGGAAATGCAAATTCTCAGCAGGGGTTCAAACCGGAATGAACCAGTTTGAAGCCCTGTTTGAAACATCTGTGCAATTAATGCTATTGTTTATTAATCTCTAATTATGTCATATATATTAGTCTTGTCTCTCCAAGTAAATTTTAAATTCTATGTGGTTTCCTACTATAGCTTACTCTCAATAATCCCTACAGGGCTGGGCCCCTAGCAGGCATTCAATAAATACATAATTTAAATCATGAGAATTTCAGATTAAATGATGAAATACATAGTTGAGGATATGCAATCATGATATCCTATTCTTCACAACCTGTTCCTGCTTTTGTTAATGGAGCTAGGAAGACAGATTGTTTAACCTTGTTTGTCTTTTCCCAGGAAAGCCAGGAAAAGAGGCAACTCTTTGAGAGCTCAAGAGCCAAAGTTCTGGTTTGTCCTTCCTGCCTCTCCATACAATAGAACTTTACCATCCTTTAAACTTCCATGTGCATAACACATTAGTTCCAAACTAGATTTCAAAATCTTGAGGGCAGGAGCTATATCTAATACTTCCTTAGTATTCCAAAAGGGACTAACTTTACAATGGACATAAAGCAAGCACTCAAAACATACATACCTGTAAACTGATTCTCTACCTGCCTATTCGAAGTTTCCCAAAAGATAAAAGGCTGCTCATGTCCCCACCCCGACATTTTTATAGAAATATGAGGGAGGTTATCAGGAAGCCTGTCTTAAGAGTGTAAGCACTCCCCTCTCCCTGTTCTGTTTTAAAACCTCTCAGTCCTGTTGTCATAGACATGGATCCCAGCTCCAGTGACTCCCCATTTTTAATCCCTCTGTTGCATGTACTTCACTTCTTCCTATAACAAATCCTTTGAACAGCTGCCTTTCCCCCTATCATTCTACTCTGACTTTCTACTCACTGCTGGTCTTAACTGACACATTCCACACCAATTAACAAGTGCTTTACAGTGTGCTTGTTAGAAGGACTACAAAATATTAAGACCAGTCTCTTTTACATGGAAAATTCAAGGACAAAATTATAAAGCAAAATAAGTAAATAATAAGCAAATAAATAAAGTAAAAAATCATACTGACAATAAAATAAGAACATATTAAAGCAGCTAATGATGGAATATAAGCACAAGCCAAAAAAATATTACAAAAGTAGTCAAGGCCTGGGGAGATACAAAGATCTAGAATTAGGCAGGTAGCAATGTGAATGCAATAAAACAAATGTATTCTGGCTGGAACTGAATGAACTAGCAAGAGGTAAAGATTTTCTGTGCCAATGGGTAATAAGGCCAAGGCTGAGAAAATGAAAAAAAAATTTTTTTCAACCACTTAATTCAACCACTATTTACTAAGCAGCTAAACTATGCCAGACTCTTATAGACTTTAGGAAGAGAGTAATGAACAAAATCCCTGCTCTTATAAAGCAGGAAGAAAATAAATTTAATAAATTCAGATGGTAATAGGACTACAAAAAACAATACCAGGTCCTGGGAAAGAAGGCGTGAGGATTGGAGGAAGACTCATTAACAACCTGTGATGTGCAGTACAATCTTGCTTGCTGAAAGTGAAGATGACTGCAAGCATTTGCTGATGAAGATGAAAGACTCACCGCAGCCTTCAGTATGGATTACAGCTCAACATAAAGAAAACAGAACTCCTCACAACTGGACCAATAAGCAATATCATGATAAACAGAGAAAAGACTGAAGTTGTCAAGGATTTCATTTTACTTGGATCCATAATCAACACCTATGGAAGCAGCAGTCAAGAAATCAAACGGCCTACTGCACTGGGGAAATCTGCTGCAAAAGACCTCTTTAAAGTGTTAAAAAGCAAAGATGTCACTCTGAGGACTAAGGTGTGCCTGACCCAAGCCATGGTATTTTCAATCGCCTCATATGCATGTGAAAGCTGGACAATGACTAAGAAGACTGAAGAATTACTGATGCATTTGGATTATGGTGTTGGTGAAGAATATCGAATATACCACGGACTGCCAAAAGAACAAACAAATCTGTCTTGGAAGAAATACAGCTAGGTCCTTAGAAGTGAGGATGTTGAGACTTTGTACCACATACTTTGGACATGTGATCAGGAGGGACCAGTCCCTGGAGAAGGACATCATGCTTGTAAAAGTAGAGAATCAGCGAAAAAGAGGAAGACCCTCAACAAGATGGACTGACACAATGGCTGCAAGAATAGGCTCAAACACAGCAACAATTTTAAGGATGGTGCAGGACTGAGCAGTGTTTTGTTCTATTATATGTAGGGTAGCTATGAGTTGGAGCCAACTTTACAGCACCTAACAACACCACCACCACTACAACATATGCTGTGAGAACAGGAACTGATTAAACCCATTGCCGTGGAGTCCATTCCAACTCATAGGAACTGATTACCAAAAAACCAAACCTGTTGCCATCGAGTCAATTCTGACTCATAGCAACCCTATAGGACAGAGTAGAACTGCCCCATATAGGGTTTCCAAGGAGCACATGGTGGATTCGAACTGACGACCTTTTGGTTAGCAGTCATAGCTCTTAACCACTATGCCACCAGGGTTTCCATAGGAACTGATTAGTGAGTGTTAAATCAGTACAATTCCAGTGCTTCTGCTGGAAAATCAAGTCCATGCCAGTCTGAAGCACTATCAGTACCATCATTTTGTTATACAGAGAGCTGTCCCAATTATTGCCATACTAGGTGGAAAATAGGATTTGCGTAGCACGGTACAGTGAAAAGATCTGTGAACAGGCTAACTGGATTCTATCAGCTCGCCACCAATTGGCTGCTGATCTTGGGCAAAGGATTCAATATCTCTGAGCCTCAACATCATCTGTAAAACAGGCTTGAAAAAGATGATCTCCAGAGTCTCTCAGATCTATTACCCTGTGATTCTGACAGCATTAATGCTATATTCAAAGCACATTCCTAGGAAGATTTAGGACAATTCCTGGTACGAAGCAAATGCTCAATACATGTCTGCTGAATTGCAGTAAATTGACAAGAACCGTATCTTGATGGACAAATGGGTAAGACATGGAACATTTGAGAGGATCTATTAAAGTATAAGAAGGGGCAGCATGAGCCATGGTATGTGGGCAGGAATAGCAGTGTATCAGAGCAGAAAATGCACGTCTGTGAGCACAGGAGAGAGTGGCATGCATAAAATGGTTAGACTGTGTCCTTTCTTACCTCCAGCTAGTTACTCACATAACAGTTTCTTTCACCTTAACACAAAATCAAAATGAGAACAATATGACAACTCCACAGGGTGACTTTATGTAACCTCTAAAACCCTTACCTAGTAAGCATAAAGTGTGCATGCCGTTTTGTCTGTTCTTCTTCACTCTGTCAAAGAAGCTTTCTGGTCTCCAAGTGTCTGTCCAAAAAACAATAGAAACTGTCTCTCCAAACTTATACAACTAGAAAAAATAAAAACATTAATTAGTGATGGAACAATTCACTAATTACTATTTCACAGAGATAAGAATTTAATCCCTTTTCAACCAAAAAAAAAAAGTGAGAACCAGACTTGAAAAGGGCTGAAGATCAAATCTATTATGAAAAAGGTGATGAAAGTTCGCTTTGCTCCACAGCAGATGGTGGCTTTCTGATGGTCCTTTCGGTTGTAAGCTTCTAATATTTTGGCATGCAGTACAGGAACATACACAACCAATTCATGATTTAGCCATGTAGCTGCTGAAACTACTAAATTACAAAGACTGCAGAAATAGGTTAAAAAAAAAAAAAAAAAAGACTTCTTGGAGTCAGAGTAGGTTTCACAAGGTTAATATTAGTACCCTCATTTATTTTACAGATGAGGCCAGCAAGGCTCAGAAAGATCATCTGACTTGCCTAAGGTGACATAGCTGTTGATGCTGTGTGCCCCTGAGTCGATTCTAAGTGACCCTATAAGACGGAGTAGAACTTGCCCCATAGGGTGTCCCAGGCTGTAATCTTTATGGGAGCAGATTGCCAGATCTTTCTCCAACAAAGCAGCTGACGGGTTCAAACCGAAGATTTTTCAGTTAGCAGCTGAGCACTTAACTGTTGTACCACTGAGGGCTCCTTGGTCAGAGAGCTAGTTAGTAATAAAAAAGAAACTTATACTTAGCTCTGACAGAGTACTCCTTTACAACATGCCATCTCAGGAAAGTCTATAGATTGTATACTCACTCCACCCATTTCTCAAAATCTATACCTCCTTAATTTAGCAAGATTCTATTTGTTCCCTCACTAGAGATCCCGTTCAATGATGAGGGCCTTTCTCCAAACCTCCTCCTTTCTCCGAAGTAGGAATCAAAGAAAACAGTTCAGAATTACAAAGTCCTGGGCTGTGAAATTAGAGATGTGGGTTTTACTCTTAATTTCCCATTACTTCTCTACTACTAGTTGTGTGACATTGGGCACATTTCTTAACCTCCACATGCCTCAACTTCTGCATCTATAAATTAGGGATAATAAAAGTAATTATAGATTATAAGGACTGCATGAGTTAATACATACAAATGCTTAAAATAGCATCTAGCACATAATGAGTGCTATATACACGTTTGCTGTGATTGTTATTGTTCTACAGGAGGCATATTCATCCAACCAATTTTTATTATTGATCATCCACTATATGCCAGGCACTACGCTGTTGTTGTTAGATGCCGCTGAAGTCAGTTCCGACACATAACAACCCTACGTACAACAGAATGAAAACTTTCCAGTCCTACACCATCCTCCTAATTGCTGTAATGCTTGAGCCCACTGTTGCAGCCACTGTGTCAATCCATCTTACTGAG